TTGTTCTTTTAATCTTTCACCACAATCATATTCGTATTTTTTTCTCATTTCATTAATTCGTTCGATTTCATTTTTATGATTTTCAATCAAATTTTTAACTTCTTTTTCATGATTTTCAATTATTTTCTGGTAAAGACCGATTTCATTTTTATAATGTTCTTTCGTTTCTTGTTTTTGTTTTTCATAGGTTTCTGTAAGTTCATTAATTCTTTCAATGAGTTGTTTTTTAGTGATGTTTCCTCCAGACATGCTATTTGGTTTAAAAACATGCATGTTAGTTACAATATTTTTACATAATCAATTTAGAAAAAAATATATTACTCGTAAAAAAAGTCGTTAATTCGTTGAGAGATCTCTGAAAATTTCATTGTTTTATCAATTGTTATTTTATGCAAGTTTATTTTATGTGGAGTAAAGCAAAATCACTGTTTTTATAGTTTATTGATTATACGATTTCTGAGTCTATTTAAGGAATATTCATACAAAACTTTTAGAACTTTCTATAAGTTCCTTTTCTGGCTTTATTATCGTAATAAATAATTTTTTATAAGTTCCTTTTGGTTTGGTTATTTAATAAATTTTATTTTATTATTCAATATATTTTTTTAGAAATAGTTTAATACATATAAAAAAACTTTTAGACATTTAATCTAAAAGAAAATAAAATATATACTATTTTGTTAATATCTAGGGGAAATTACTCTCATCAATTTGAAAGGAGTGAATAGTTTGTTCCAAACGATCGATGGTTTGTTGCAAGAGATCAGTTTCATGTTTATATGTCCGTTCTCTTTCTTCTCTTTCACGTTTATGGATTTTATCCTTTTCTTTCAATCTTTCATTGTATTCATATTCATATTTTCTTCGTAGTTCTTCATTTTTCTCAATTACTAACATTAAATTTTTAATTTCATTTTTTTTATCATTAATAATTTCTCGGTAAAGACTGATTTCATTTTCATGGTTTTCTTTTATTTCTTGTTTTTGTTCTTCAAAAGTTTTTCGGTAAAGACTGATTTCATTAGCATGGGTTTCATTTTTTTCTTGAAGCGTTGTCATCAATTCGTTAATTTTTTCAATGAGTTGTTTTTTGGTATGATTTCCCCAGACATTCTATTGGTTTAAAACATGTTAATTACAAGACTATTGAACATAATTAATTTAGAAAATATATTTACTCGTTAAAAAAATCGTTAATTCGTTGAGATATCTCTGACAATTTCATTTTTTCTTCTATTGTTTTATGCAGGTTTATTTGTGTGAAGTAAAGTAAAAATTGATGTTTTTATAGTTTATTGATCATACGATTTCTAAATAAGGAATATTCATACAAAACTTTTTTGATTTTATTGATAAAACCTATGATCGAAAAAATTCACACACACAGATAAGATTTAATAAAGCCAGAAAAGGAACTTATAGAAAGTTTCTTATCTTTTGTCTGAAAAATTCACTCACACAGATAAGATTTAATAAAGCTAGAAAAGGAACTTACAGAAAGTTTCTTATCTTTTGATCAAATGATCGAAAAAATTTACACAGATATTAATAAAACCAGAAAAGGAACTTACAGAAAGTTTCTTATCTTTTGTCTGAAAAAATTTACTCACACAGATAAGATTTAATAAAACCAGAAAAGGAATTTACAGGAAAATACTGAACCAATAAAATTATATATTGATAATCAAATTTCAAATTCAAATCTACGTAATTATAGTTTATTTTTAAATTTTTCTAGCAATTTCTTCACAATAATAAAAATTGAGCGAAAAATCTTTCTTTCTCTTCACGAATTCATTCGTTTTCTTAACAAATAAAATAAACACGTTTTACCAATTTACAAAATAATAAAATAAACAAAATGTTCCCAAAAATCCTTGTAATTTTCATTTTCCTTTGTGTAATCCTTGGTTTGTTTTTCACAAACCTTTTTTCCGGTGAATATCAAAATGATATTCACCAATCTTTAAACAATTTTTATTCGTCCAAAATATTTTTTTGGATTTTGGTAGTTGTTGTAAATATTTTAACAACAACTATTATTATTGGAATTTATCAATTTTGGTTCTGGAATACTTTAATTGAACATTTTCCAGAACAATTTTTATATTAAACAAGATTAAAATGGTAATTTTTAACCGTTTTGAATGTAAAAAAAGACACTTGGAAATCGCTATTCTCCAAGATTGAAGAAATTTGAAGAAACGTCGATAGAAAATATCTTGAAATTCCATCCGTCGAGGAAACAAATCAGTATAAATTACTGGAGAAGATTTTATGGTTTCTTCTAATTAAAGAAGAAATAAACATTTTTCATATTTGACGAGAAAAACTTCGGTGATTTTAAATACAAATGGAAAGATTGTGATTTTCGATACTAGAAAAGATTCTATTTATATTGGTACTGGTATCGTCGATATGAGAACCACTATAGATAATTTATTATTGGTGTGGAAATTGCTAGTTATACTAGAACTGCTATAGATAATTTATCGGCGTATCTTAAAAAAATAAGAATTTGGTCGGGTTAAAAGATTTTACGACCCAAG